TTCATTTAGTATTTCCTTATTTATCACATTCTATTTCCCCGCAAAACTTAGAAAAAAATAAATGCAAATGAGGAGAGGCACGTCATCAGGCTACACCTTCCCCAATTGGTTGGTTAGGGTCACCTGTACTTTGCTTTCAAGAAAGATGGCGACCTACTACCGGGTTATCAATAAGCTGAAGCTCATCATTAACTTCATTAGAAAATAGTGTTATTACTCCTGACTTTATTTTTGGTGTGGCCGCTGAGACAGAACGCGTTTCAGCTGGCGGCTCTCATGGACTCAGAGCTTCACCGTCGGGGGTTTTTTTATAGTTTGGACGAAGCGGCCGCTGAAGTTGGCTTATGATTGAAGGTTCGAGACGCCTTCGTAGCTACCAGCTGTGGTCCAACTATAAGGAGCAGATTTTACTGTACATCGTAAGTGAAGTACAATATCCAGAGGCAGCTCTATGGAGCTGAGAGAATGAGAGTGCCAAGCCTTGGAGATCTGCTTCGGAGGTCATCTTTCAGACATGCACCGCTGCTGTCCGTCCAGGATCCTCCGGTTGCCCAGATGTTGCACGGTAAGCTAATGCTGATGTTTGTTTTCCAACTACAGTCATATTTAATCAATAGGTGCCACGATCGCGGAAGGTTTTGAGTTGATCTCGGCAGTAGGTGACAAACTGAACGCCACCAGGATGTTGAGACCAGAACGTCCTCTGATCCAATACATCTTATTAAGGATAAAATCAACAAAATATGTTCAAATTAATGGCCCAACAAAATTAATAATCTCAGTAGTTATTGTTTAAAAGGTGTTGCGCCTTTCTGTGCATTTCGGTACCATTACAAAAGTAAAGGGACTCAAAGACCCTGATGAGCAGAGCAGAAATTTAAATTGGCTAATCAGCCACAGCTGTATTCATGAGAGGAGATGCTTGTTAACCGAGAAATAAATATGAAGCCTGAAAACCTGAAATCTTAACGGACTGAATCCATTGTGTTTTTAGCTAATCTCTGCTGGGTTTGTGGGACTCAGGCGGTTGCCACAGCAACAGGTTGATTATACAGTAAAAAGGCAGGAGAGGTTTAGAATCATTGCTGTTATTTTACTTTTGTTTACCTTTGCTGGGATGCATCACAACCGCTGTAGTTTATGAACGTTCAATAAACGACAAACTTGGACTAACTACCTCGTTCGTCTGTGACTATATTTCATTAAGTAACAAACAAATGGCTTATACCGCGATAATTATGTAAAATTTATTTATTTTTTTAAGTTTTGTGCGCTCTGGCATCTTGCTTTGAGTCTGAGAGGCTTTTCGATGCGTTAAAACTCTCCAAAATAACCTTTCAACTTTTAAAGCTCCACTGTTGAAAATGAGAAGCTGACATTCACAAATGACATTGAAATAAATTCTAGTCCCACTTCTGGTTTGTTGCGATTTCTCTGGATCCTGTTGGAGGAAAAATATACCAACTTCACAAGATGTGGCTTTAACCTAACTCCTGTCAGTCTGAAGTTTCTCATATTGAGTTCATCAAACCAAAGTTCAGATCTACCATAACTGACTGACACAGGTGATCGCCACCAGGTCAAAAGTACAGCTTGTTGGCGCAGCACATTCATTAATGTTTCCATCATGTATGTTTTCAGATGCTAAGCTGTCACAGCAGACCATCCTGCAGGCCTCTGGTCTCAGTGTTTCCAGTGATCTCACAGCTTCAGGATGACCAGAGACCTTCACCTTTCTGGAGCAGGAACACCCGGCCAAATGCACTGGTGACACATTTAATTTAAAAAATGTGGCTGTTCTTATAGCATTGATATGCAAGAACCATCTACTGTTTTTAATAATAAAAAATATATATATTATGAAATCTGTGTTCCTTCTCATCTGTGTAGTTCTAATTTAATCAAATCTCATGTTTTCACATCCCAGAGACAATAAGATGGATAGTTTGTTTGTGGCTTTAACCCATTCATTCCAAATTTTTCCCAAACATGTAAATATGAAAATCCGATGTCATTGATAGCCCTTTGAACTAATCAGGGAAATAATTTTAAAAATTGTGGAAAAGTATGTAAAAAAGTGTGTTTTATGTTCGGTCACAATTGTGACCG